ATCATATGTACGTGAACGCACGCACTTAAAGTTAAAAAGATTAATCATCATAATTTAGTAGGCCTACATTGACTTTCATATCTAAATAATAAAATATATTAGTTATCCCTCTCATACCTTTCTTTGATAATTGTCAATATTAACAGATTGCGAAGAGAACAAGTGTATAGTTTATGATTAGCCATTTGCACCCATTATCTTTACTAAGAAGTGCATAAAATCATGCAGACGCCTAGGTGTTGTGGGATATTTGCCAATTTATGGTGCCTAAGACTTGCGGTAACGTCTAAACATATTCATTTTTATCGGGAACGCACGAAACGGATGCGATAGCTTTTTGAACGCCAGACGAAGACTACGCATACAACCGAGCTCAAAATTCCATATAGTATTTATTTCAGAGCAGGTATTACTGAGTACTATCATCTTCAACATGAAATAATCTCTATCTCACTTATACATTCGAAGTTTTAAAATCTAACATTTAGGTAACATTCGTATTGAATTGGTCTTTACAACGGTAACTACCAATTTCAAATCAATTCAAATTGCCCCCTGCTGTGATGTACCGAATGTTCAGCGAAATGTAACGGAAATATTTCAATCCTTCCTTATAAGGCAATTTTTAAACATTAGTGCTTCGTATGTGATATACGTATATATTACCTCGTAAACTAAAACATATTACCAGGGAGTCTCGATCAAAGCATATTTCATGTGTAAAAGGACACAAAACATTTTTTTTTTTAGATATATTTCACAAAATATTTCGTCATAAATCACGGTGATATAATTTTTCCCTGATATTGGTATAAAAGTGTTTCTTGAACATTCACGAACTCATATCTATGCGCAATGTCATAATTAAATGCCTTATGCACGATTGCCGCAAGCAAAAGTCCACATAGGTGTACCTGGGCGCTCATTAGCGACGTACCTCTCTGGGTGCTGAGGGACTCGCACGCCGGCTGCAAGATAACGAGCCATAGCAGGCGGTTAATACTCGTTTGGTAGTTTCCTCATCCATGTACCTATACTATACGCTAACTATCTCAATTTAACCCCCTCCCCCCCCCTCTCTTAGGGACGGTCCCCTTAAGAACACTTATATTTCAGATAGCAAGATATTACAATCCTCCATACATGATTATATATCTCTTTACCATATCCTAAAAATCAACATTCAATAACCATCTAAGTCCTCATATTCATATTTTCTTCATATGTACAAAATTAATGTATGATCTTCCAATTATATGCTTGTCACAATCAACATATCCACTACATAAAAATTTGGTTTTAGTTTCAATTTCACATAGCAATATGGTACAAGAAAAACCTTGCCATTAATGGACTGAACAATAAAAAATATTTCCTTCAGAAGTTGATAAGAAAGTTATGCAATACATAATACTGCAGTATACATTTATAAAATGACCCCAAAAAGACGAAAATCTAATGACCCTGACATAAAGAACAGAATGCATGAAATGATCTGTGCAGGCAAAGAATAATATAAGAATAATGAAAAAAAGGGTGGGGGGTGGGGTTTGGGGGCACAGCTTCTGATAGGGAAATATAAAGATAGGGTGGTATCTAGGGGATGAAGCTCTTGAGCTAGGAAAGTTATTTATTCACACTGCAGTGTTTGTAGATCCCCAGGTGCGGCCTGAGTAATAAGGATCTTATAAACAATTGCAGTATTTTTGCTTAGATGCATATTACACCATGAATAACTGAAACAAGAAACAATAATTAAATGGTTGGATGCCTGTGAAACTAAAAATCCAAACATTTTGGTGGTTAGTGTTTACGGCACATACACTAAGCTAGAGTAAACTGAAGATGATTTTCGTTAAATTTGCAGCAGAGAACAATCAGGGTTACAGTAAAAATAGTGTATGGAATTATTAACTTAACACAACCTAAGACACTTTTCATCTTTGGCATAAGGTGCGCAAATCAAAAATAAAAGAAATACATGACATAGAAGGGAGTGGATTGACCTATCTTTTTCTAGGTTCTTCACCATGCTATATCACAAATGTAAATAATACTATGACCACTTAACTCATTCCTGCTATCCTTCAACAAATTCACATACTGCTATGTGCTTGTGAATACAATTTTGTACATTTCAAAGTCTGCTTTTTCTAATTCATGTATTTTATGCATTCCTTTACTTCTAATACACAGTCTTTATGTGTTTTGATAGTTTTACCCTATTCTTTACAAATACCTAATGTGCTTTTGCACTTTCGACCAGGACTTTTAAGACCATGTTCACCATTCCTTGACATATCACTGGTGAGGAATGTTTCATTTTCAGTGTTGCATCGATTCCAGTCCTTTGTAAAACAATATAGTGGCTATGCAGAAAATAGACCTTAGTAACTATCACAGCTTCATATGTGAACCCATAAAGTGCCCCAAACTGCCATTAAAAGTGACTAGAAACCAAGTCATGGCAACTTTGATTGTTGAATAAAGTTTGTGATATGCGATTAGGTTGCTTTATTGGTCAGGACGTATTGGGTGGTGTAAATTCCCGTAGATTTTACCAAAAGATGAGTTGGCTTCCCATACGCTTTTTTGAAAGTTAACCTGTCAGTCCACAGACTTGCAAAGATGGCAGACACACTAATTCCCCTGATATACTTCTTTCCCTCCTCTGCAATTGGGATTTAACACATCTAGACTGTTGGCTGTAACTGCTAAGGAAATGATTATCAGATTCGTTCTTGTTACACGAGAATAAAACTGATGATATAAATACTGTCTGGGAAGTCCCAAATATCATCAATGGTAAAATAACCTGATATTCTTATTGAGGACAAAAAGTTATCAACAGTACAAGAAATAATCTGCAGTCACAACTTAGACTGTGGGAACTGATTTTGTGATTTGGAGCTAGGAATTTAGCATCTGGTGAGTGTGTTCATACCCTAAAGAAAATTATCATTTTGTCAAAAAAAAAAAAAAAAAATCATTTTAACAGGACCTGACCTGGCATCATATGTTTGCAATTATCCTTAGCATGTAAGGACAGAGCTTTGTGATAATTTTAAAAAGAGCAATGGTGGATAGTACAAGTAATCAGCAAGTATACAGCAAAATAACTGACTTGACAGTAAGGTGTCAAGTCTTATATAAGTTAGTAACAGTATTCCACAAACCATGTAATTAGTCTGAACACTAAACATCACAAATAAATATGCATTCATCTGATTCTATGATATGGAATCAAGTTATTACAAATTAGTAACTCAACTGAAACTTTAAACTTAAGAAGTGTGATGGCAAAATATGGTTGCAGAACATGGCATCTTGAAATCACAATATCACAAGAAATCATTTTTTTTACTACACCTTACCCCAAGGAAAAATCCCAAACACAGGGTGATTTATGCAAACACAAAAACTAAATCAGTAATAATTACAGACCAGCAAGCAATACAAAATATTCTTCAAGGTCAATAAAGGGATATAAGAATTCTTGCAATAAATTCCACACTTTTTGCAAAAACCTTTGAATTTTAACTAATAAAAAATATGGCCTTTATGGGATACTTTCTAAACCTATATAATCATGCATTGCATTAAATAATTCTTTGAGGTTCTCTTTAACAGGTTATTCCCACATTAACAGCAACAAATATGGTACATCAAAATTCATGTTAAAATGTCTGAAATCCTCGCATTCCTGACACCTTTTCCCGAACACTAAAATTGCAGAACTACCTTTCACAATTTGCATGTCTGAATATCTAAAGTATATTTTGAAGTACAGAATCCCAATGACATAACTTTAAAAAAAATGTATCGATCCAAAAACATCACGAAATAACCACATACAAACACCTGTCCTGAGATCCCACACTTGTGTTTCTCCACCAACTGCTTATCAATCACTCCAATCACAAGCATAAAAACACGTATTTCCCATTAACTCACCGTAATACCAACCCTCTAACTCATGCCATAGGTTCGAGTAGTTATTTAACCACCTACCTAAAGCCATTTCGAGTGACTAATGATAGAGATAATGGAGATTTTTTTTTCCTTTTTAACACGGAAGCTCTCAGGCTCACCCTTCCAGTGCGGTCCGGTGACGTCGTCTGCCATTTTCTGTGACTTGACAGTAGCTTACACGTGTTACAAAGTCGCTATTTTGTAATTTAAGGTAATTTAGAAAGTTAGAAAGGAAGTAACTATTGACTTCGGGTGAAGTCTTTGGTGTTAAAGGTAATTTCCAAAGCGCGAATTGCGTTCCTGTTGAGTTACAAGGCGAGCGAGTGGAATGGAACGCGCTTGACTACTTTCATTTTCAATGGAATTGGGTACTTGTAGTGTCGTTGATTCATGCAAATTAACTATTTCATTAAAAACAGAATAAATAAATTGGAATAATACATTCCTTCTTAATTATTATTCATATATGTTTACGTGGCAAAGATATCTGCAATCATTCCGGGTTAAACTAATGCACATTTGCATTTTATGATATTATTATATATATTTTTTTCTACTCCAAACACAAGAAGCGATATTAGTGAATTATTGTCTTTTTACTTTTTACTTAACTGGCGATATTAGAACTCTCTTCCTGCATCATAGAAACCCTTTAGAACAATTATTTGAGGGCAATAAGCAATTGATAATTTTTGCTCAGATGAGTAATAGATCATTGTAGTCTCAATGTGTAACTCTAAACGTATAAATGATATATTATAGACATTTATTTTTTTCCAGAATTACCTCGTTCACTGAACAGAAAAATACAAAAAATGTCATCTTAACATCATCCCCAGAAGCTGTTCCTACATCTTCATTCATTTATCGTTAAAAGATTGAAAATTCTCAGTTAAAAAAAAAAAGTAAGTGCAAAAGAAAATATCTTGGGATTTAAAATTTCGCCGAGAACGTTTCTTTGACGATAAAGGACTACGAATCTAAGAATATTTTCCTGAAGCAATGTAAACACCTGAAAATATTGCAGAAGTTTTTGTATTTCAAAACATATTCCAGAGGCGTATATAAATAAAACAAAATTTTCGGTAAACGTATATAAACCAAGATAGTAATATATATATCCGTAGTGTGTCGCTGTGTGTGTTATTATGTGTTTACTCTGCTCGTCCTGAGTGATTTTTTTTTTCGATTTTTCCCCTATTTATGGCGGGTGTATGTACGTGCAGGTAATATCAAGGTCCTCTTAGGGTGTATAAGCATTCCTTGATGTATACATATTATGGTAGTTGTGGCAGTCTTTGGGAAGTGCAACAACAGTGAGGATTTCTGTAAGCTAATTTACTGGAATCATAAGAGCATGTGCCTGTAAAACATAAAGCAGTCGAGTTACATACGGACTAGATCTGGTAGTCTATTGACAATATATATATTAACTATCCAAGGTCGTCATTCGGGGTAAATTTCATTTACGTGATTATTAATGATTAATTTGTTCAAAAGTTTGTTTCTGTATCAAATGGATTTGGTATTGGGTTTAGCCCCCGGTTATGAATTACATGAATGTCACACATATGAAGACAGATCAACATTTACTGTGCATACTCAGACAAGATAGAGTCAAGGAAGAGTCAGCAGGGAAGTTTTAAAGTGTAGGTAATTTTTTCTAATACGTCCTCCTAACAGATTGTAAGGATATTGGGATCGTTGGATTCCTTTCACCATCTATAATGCAAATATGTAGTTTTATTACACGGAACACCCCCAACCCCCTCATTTGTGACAAGCTTTGCCCCAATAGCAGGGAGGGCATGAAAGGTACCAGAGATGCAATATGAAAAACCTCTACCCAGGAAAACAAAGAATCCTCCACTTATTCAAGGCAGGAGAGAGCATTGGACAGACTTGGCAATGCTGTTCCCGTATGGTGGTTGTACGCTTTCTCCTGCCATAAATACAAGGAGGATTCTTTTTCTGTACAGGGTTTGGGGGGCAGCAGACCCCTATTGGAGGGTTGCAGAGGGCACAGCCCCATCATTCAACAATATTATTCATATAATATTATTATATGTTATTGTTATTGAATCTATATGGTCGAGGTTGGTTAACCAAGTTTGTCGGGACTTCAATTAACCTATTGGGTCTGGATGCCTCTCAGCCCACATATGTCCCAAAATTTGAGTAGTAGGCTTGTTTCAGTAGCAACTCTACTGGTTGTGTGGCCTGTAAGCCCATCCCACATGAACACTAGTGTGCAGTATGAAGACTCTTTGTCTCCCCTTTGCAATTTCATCATCTCTCTCTCTCTCTCTCTCTTTCTTTTTTTCTAAGCATTTTTTGCCAATTTCCAGGGCTTGTATTTGTTGTTTGAAAACTGTATCAAGTTGATAATAGATTGTTTTAAGCCTAGAAAGTGTTTGGCCCTGTGCAATAACAATAATGATGAGTAATTCAGTATTCTGTAACACACCCAGGGCAGGGACGGGATTTTGAGCATAGAATTAGTGTCCTCACACATGTCTGAACTCCACCAGGGAAATATTGTTTTCACCTCAGTATGCATGCCAAGATTGAGCTGAAACTCAAAAGCACTGAGTGACTTAGACTATGAGCAGCACTTTCCATGATCACTTTCTTTTATTTGTGGTGTTACCATTTGTGTCTGCCCCTCCCAATACCTTGCTCATTGTTGTCATGGGAGGGCTTAGGAGATGGAGACTGAGATCCAGTGTAGGGGATCACCCCTACTTTGAGCCTCAGCCCACGCCTCAGCTAATTTTGCTTGGTCTTTTCTTCTCCCCTCTCCTCTTCCATATCTTCGTCATCCCCTTCTGCTATCCCATTCCTAAGGTGTGAGAGCTGTGCTGAAAGGATGAAAAGCTGGCTTTGTGTTAGTCATGAACGGGCTCCAGGAGCCAAGGGCACGGTATTCTCTTGTTTGATTGTCTAGCCCTTACCCCTTATTTGGGGTAGACCATTTCTGTCCCCAATTTTATTCAGGCTCATCATGGCCAATAATGAAGATTATCCTTAATAGGGCATTAACCCATTATCACCGGTATATTTTGAAGCTGGCCCAGATTCTGTTCGTGTGCCGGCCGCAGCCCGCTGCTGAGTCGGAGTGCGAGCCCTGATATAGCATCACACTGGCGGGACACATCAGGAATTTTTTTTTCTGGGTGTCTCATAAGTGAGACACCCATCAAGTGGGTTAAGGCTTGCCTCTTCATCATCTAACCTATCTAAATTTGACTTTGATGTTTATCTGATCCTTGCCCGTACTTTGACCATGGCTCCAACCACTGACACTAATATCCTCTCCATGGCGCTTACTGACAACTCTGTCCATTCCAAAACTCCCACCCAGTTATTACTCAACCTCCAGAAAGCACCCTTTCCTCTATCCCAACATTCTTCTCTCCATCTCCTACTGCACAGTCTAATTCAATGTCTACAGCCTCTTCCCTTTTTACTACTCTTCATCCATATTGTCCTCCTCCCCACAGAACTACTCCTTTCCACATCACCCTCCCTTCCTCTCGCCCTTGTCCTTCTACTACCACAACCTGTACAAACCTTTTGAGTACTTTCTTTGGCCCAGCCAAGGGATCAATTCTGAATCTGAATCCCAAGCTCATGCACTATCTACCCTATCTGACCTCACTGGCAAATCCATTCCTTCCAAATCTCACCCCTTTCTTAATACTTGTACTGGAACTGTTTCTATCCCCCCAAATTCTTGTTTTATCTACAACAAAGACTGGTCAGACTGTGAAAATGACCTACTTACCTGCCTTGCTGATTATGGTGCTGTGGCAGTACAGTGTTACACTATTCCTCCCAGAGGCCAGCATAAGTCCCATGTCAGTATTGCCAAAATTAGCTTCCATAGACGTACCTCCCCATGAAGTTATATCGGTGGATTGTCCTAACATGTCCGACCATATCGACCCCTTCCTCGTCAATGTCAGAAGTATTGGAGTTTTAGCCACCCAGCCAAACACTGTCACTCCACAGCCCACTGCCCTCTATGTGCCCAACCTGGTCATGACTGTTTAAATTGCCCTGCTCAGTCACGTCCATGTGCCAGTTGTGGAGACTCCCATTATATATTTATAGGAGTTGCCCTGCCTATAAACTAGAAAGTTAGGTAGCAGCCCTCAGATTCAAATTAGGACTCACTCTACGTGAGGCCAGACAAGAAGCATAACAACAAGGTTTTTCTCTCTCAACTTACTCCAAAACAGTCCTTCGCTCGACTCCTTTACCATCCTCGTAAGATATTTTTGCATCTCCCCCAGTATCTCTTCCCTATACCCTAAACCATCGTATGCCTACTCACCTTATCTACCAGTCAAATTTGTTTTCCAGTCTAAATCCAGATACTCCAATCTCTACCACTTCTCTGATACCTACCCCTCCTCCTCATTGTATTTGTCGCACCAGGCAACCTAAATGTTCCACTCCATCCTCATCTACCATATCCTCTCCTACATCTTCCTCTTCTTCTGCTTCTCAGATATATATATCTGCTTCTCCTCCTCATAAGAAAACCTTACTTCTTAGTCCTCTTCACCCAACTCCCCCTCAGAAACTCTTGTAGACATCCAAAACTTCCTAAAGACAATCCAAGGGAACACTTCGCTCTCTCATCCACCCCCCAGTCCCTCTGTTCCTACTCCTACATTTAAAGTATTTGCAGATATCCATCCTCCTCCTCCTCCTCAAGTTCCCTCCACCCCCTTCCTCCTATACCGTCTCTACCGTTCCCACTTGAATACCTACATGAATCCCTTCTATCGCAACAGTGTCCTTCTCCAGAACCCTCCCCTCCTGACATTCTTCTACCTTCCCCAATTCCCCTTTCTCATCACTTGGATTCTTCTCCTACTTCTCCAACAGCCACCTCTGTTTTCCCCGATACCTACCCCTTCTCCTTACTTTATTTGTTGCACCAGGCAACCTAAACGTTCCCCTTCACGCTCTCCTACTACATCCTCTCCTACACCTTTTTCTTCTTCTGCTCCTTAGGTATCTATCTCTGCTTCTCCTCCTCACAAGAGAACCTTTGTTTCTCAGTCCTCTTCACCTAACTCCCTCCAGAAACTCTTGAAGACATCCAAAACTTCTTAAAGATGACCCAAGGGAACACTCCCCTCCCTCATCCATCCCCCAATTCCTCTGTTCCTTCTCCTACATATAAAGTATTTGCAGGTATCTATCTTCCTCCTGCTCCTCCTCCTCAAGTTCCCTACACCACCCTTTATCTTATACCCTCCAAACATACCCCACCATATCACTCACATGAATCCCCTCTATCACAACAGTGTCAGTCTCCAGACCCCTCCTCTCCAGACATTCTTCCTTATACCTCACTGCCTTTCCCAGTCCCCCCTCTCATCCCCCAGATTCTTCTCCTCCTACTTCTCCAACAGCTACCTCTGATTTCCATAAACAATGTCCCTATTCCTTCCTCAGTCAGTACACTGCAATTCATTCAATTGCTCTACCCCTTAACCTTCCCATTTTACTAATCCATGCTCATCTCATTTACTTCCCTTTTTTCCCTTTTTGTTGCCACACTTTCTAATCTTTGACATTAATACCCCCCACTCCCCACCCCCCATCTCCCTGGATGCATCTCCAACCTTTCCAACAGCCATGTCTGTTTTCCTTAAGGGACCGTCCCTGAGAATGGCCACCTTTCCCTACTCTATACATCATAAAAAAATATCGGTTAGAGATAACTGATTGATTCTTTTTGCATGCTATAGAGTAAAGAATTGCGCTCGTTATATATATAAATTTTAACTTTGCTCCCCATTGGGGGGGGGCACCCCCCAAAAAGTTGAAAAAAATCGCTATTTTTTTTGGTATGTCTTCGGTACATCCCAACTATCAGAGCTCTTTACAGAATATTCCCCCAAAAATGCTAGTGTTAGATCAACTCTAGCCTATAGCCATGTAAAAGGCCGAATTTTGAATTTCCTTTTTTTTTGGCGGGGGACAGCTTGACATAGAGAACTATTTTTGAATGCGTTTTTCAGCATTAAAATATTATTATTTTTTGATTAAGGCAAAAATTCAAAAATCGGCCTTTTACATGGCTATGGGACGCCGAGGCTCTAGTGAAAGCAACAAACTGCATTTGGATCGCATGAAAATTACGTGAGTTGGGAAGTACCGAAGATTCATAAAAAAATAGCGAGCTACGGCGTTTTGTATTTGGCACCTTGCCAAAGTTCGTTATCTCTGTTATTTTTCTCTGAATCTAATGATATTATATCAAAAAAACGCTTATTTAGTGTACTTTGCAATGCAATGATTACCAAGTCAATAGGAATTTTCATGTTCAATAGGGACGCTATTCTGTAAAGGTATGTCACTTTTTTTTTTTTTTTTTTTTCGTTGTTCATTAAAGTTGATATTTTCGTGTGAAAAGCTTAATAAATGCATTTTACCATAGAGACAACTAATCTAAACCAGATAAAAACCTTTTTTTTAAATATTTTTTTTTATTTTCCATTTTATTTTTTTTTTTTTTATTTTGAAGAAATGGGGAACTGTGGATGGCAACATTAGTACAAAATCATTCTAATTATAAAGTCCTGGCATGAATACAACATGGTGGTTCAATTTTGAGAATTTCAAAAGCATATGAATTTAGTACATTGAATTCGAGAACTTACGAAAGTCGTTGAATATTCCCCATGCCTCACACAGGGGGGGGGAGGGGGAGATGGTCACTGGGTGTTTATAATTTTCGAGGAGGATCATATGTACGTGAACGCACGCACATAAAGTTAAAAAGATTAATCATCATCATTTAGTAGGCCTACATTGACTTTCATATCTAAATAATAAAATTTATTAGTTATCCCTCTCATACCCATTTTCTTTGATAATTGTCAATATTAACAGATTGCAAGGAGAACAAGTGTAAAGTTTATGATTAGCCATTTGCACCCATTATCTTTACTAAGAAGTGCATAAAATCATGCAGACGCCTATGTGTTGTGGGATATTTGCCAATTTATGGTGCCTAAGACTTACGGTAACGTCTAAACATATTCATTTTTATCGGGAACGCACGAAACGGATGCGATAGCTTTTTGAACGCCAGACGAAGACTACGCATACAACCGAGCTCAAAATTCCATATAGTTTTTATTTCAGAGCAGGTATTACTGAGTACTATCATCTTCAACATGAAATAATCTGTATCTCGCTTATACATCCGAAGTTTAAAAATCCGACATTTAGGTAACATTCGTATTGAATTGGTCTTTACAACGGTAACTACCAATTTCAAATCAATTCAAATTGCCCCCTGCTGTGATGTACCGACCGTTGAGCGAAATGTAACGGAAATATTTCAATCCTTCCTTATAAGGCTATTTTTAAACATTAGTGCTTCGTATGTGATATACGTATATATTACCACGTGAACATTCACGAACTCATATCTATGCGCAATGTCATAATTAAATGCCTTATGCACGAGTGCCGCAAGCAAAAGTCCACATAGGTGTACCTGGGCGCTCAATAGCGACGTACCTCTCCGGGTGCTGAGGACTCGCACGCCGGCTGCAAGACAACGAGCCATAGCAGGCGGTTAATACTCGTTGGTAGTTTCCTCATCCATGTACCTATACTATACGCTAACTATCTTAATTTTAACCCCCCCCCCCTCTCTCAGGGACGGTCCCCTTAAACATTGTTCCTATACCTTCCCCAGTGACAGATACACTGTAATTCACTTAATTGTCCTACCCCATTAACCCTCCCCTTTCTGCTGATCTCTGCTCTAGTTCATTTTACTCCCCTCTTTTCCCTTTTCAATACCATACTATCCTATAACACTTTCTCATATCTTTAACATCTACACATTTTATCCTAATCTTTAACTCCTCTTTACCCTTTCTATCACAATTCTTTACCATAGGGCTATATGACCTAAGATGTCTAAGACATTTATTTCTCAAAACACATATCTTTTTCTGTTTAATTATTTATTTTTCAAATTTTTGATTGCAGGCATAATGGGTAGACACAGCAGCAGTGAAGAAGAAAACTCAAGCCCAGACAGACGAGAGAAGAGCAGTCACAAATCTGACAAGAAGAGAAGAGGTTCACATCAAGGACGATACAGGAGCAGATCACGCTCACACACAAGAAACCACCGGTCGAGGTCACAGGATAAACACTCTAAGCCCAAAGCCTATGCAAGGAAGAGCCGGTCCAGATCACGTGATCGATGGCAGAGATCAAGGTCAAGGTCACCCTCTAAGAATGAAACATCAAAAGCTTATTACAAGAATTTCAGGGCAGGGTCACGGGACAAGAATCAGAGATCAAGATCAAGAGACAGGAAACAGAGATCAAGGTCACGTGACAGGAGCCGAAGGTCTAGCTCAAGAGATCGAGGAAGAAAATCCAGGTCAAGAGAGAGGGATATAAGGTCAAGGGAGATGGATAGAAGTAAAAAAATGGAACAAAGATTAAGAAGGATTGCTGAAAAAAAGGGCCAATTCTAGTTCTCGTTCTAGGTCAAGGTCTAGGTCAGGTTCAATGTCTGAGACTAAACAGGAATTAGAGACATTTATAACAGAAAGG